ATACCAAATAGTTTCTCTGGGGTGAACAAACTATAATAGTACATGAGATCCTTATGAGATAATTGACAATGTGAAATAGGAAGAAAAGGGCTAAAGTTGTAGGGAAAGTGGGAAGGGTAGGGGAAAGGGAATAAGGGAAAGGAACAAAATAGGAGAAAATGAAAAAATGGAAATAAAATGTTTGTAAATGGGGAGGGGAGGAGGGGGTGAAGGGAGGGCAGGGACAAGGGGGAAAAATGAGAACCAAGACCTGTCAGGTAGAGGTACAAGATCCCAATGATGAATGTAACTGTACTGTATCCCTAAAATGTACCAACAAACTCAATGAGGAAAAAAAAAATACTCAGGGGCTTTATACAAGGAATCCAAAATTATGCCACTCTTTGTCAGAATTCTTCTCTCCAGCCAAGGTTATCATTACTCTGAACACTACAAGGGCTTCTAGGTGAAAGTTATAACCTTTCAACTACTAGATTATACTCACAAGGTAAAATTTTCTTTCTCTTATAAGTTTAAGCAACAGCATGCATAATACAGACAGAAAAGTCAAAGTTTCATAGACACTCAATTATTGTTTAGGCTCATAACAAAATTAAAAGGAAAATATTTAAAAACTTAAATACTTTTAATTGCTGCCCAAATGTTGTCTTTCTGTTTGCTTGTAACTTGTGTGTACAAACAGTTGATGTAATAATTAGAATTAGCAAGTGTTATAGGTTGGATCTAGATGTACCCCCAAAGCCTCATGGTGGCTGAATCTAGAGTGTGTGATGCTAGGATTAAAGGTATGTGATTACTAAATCAGCACACTGATTCATTTGGTGCTGCTCGAATCCTGGTAGACTCTTCTTGCTTTTACTGTCTTCTGCCACCATGAACTGTTGTACCTCTGCCACCCTGCCTTGGAGCCATCCAATTATGGACTGAACCTCTACAAACTGTAAGCCAGATAAACTCTTTTCCCTTTAACTTTGAGTGTCAGAGTATTTTGTCTCAGCAACTACAGGAAAATAACTAACACAGCAAGGTAGAGGGAAAAGGGGTTCAAATCTATTTAACAGAAGGTAGAATGGTTTCCAGGAAGAAGAGATTGGGGAACTATTGTTTATCAGCTACTCAGCTTAGGATGATGAAAAGTTCTCTTCTGTAGGTGGATGATGGAAATGGTCTCGCAACAACATAAATTATTTAAATGCCCCTAAATTATATACTTAAAATGGTTACAAAATAGAATTTATGTTATATATAATTTACCACAATAAGCAAAACAGGAGAGCTTAATTCTTCTGACGTTTAATGGCTCAGTGGGTGTTAAGAGCTACACCATGACCTGAACCAATTTGTGTGAACAGCAAAAATAAATACTTTATATTGCACTAATTGGGGGTGTTTGAAGTGTTGGACATTTTGTGTTACACAAATAAATATATGGGATTCACCCATTAAGAACTTGATTTTTGGATGACACATCATTTTTCTGTGCTTGCTGTACTTTCTGTGGGTGAATTAAAATAGAAATTTATTCCTCCCCAGTCCTAGAAGCCAAAGGTCTGAAACCAAGTGTCAGGTGTACCACTCCCCCTAGGGCTGTAACAGGGAAGAATTAATGGTTTGCTTCCAGCTTTTGGTGAATAGCAGTGTCTTTGATGTGTAACTACATTCTAGAATCTGCCTGTCTGCACCTGGCTTCTTCGTGTTGTCTATTTTCCCTCTGTGTCTCCCTCTAATAAAGTTCCTTGTCAATGGACTTAGAACTTATCAGGAAAATGCAGGGTGATCTCATCTCAAGTTCCTTAATTTAATTATTTCTACAGACACACATTTTTCCTAATAAAGTCAAATCCACAGAGTCAAAAGAATAAAACATGGATGAATCTTTAGGAACCATCATAGGCCAACTACTATGATTATGTATAAATCAACAATACTTTTCTTATAAGTAATATATTAAAATATTAACATTAAAATTATACCTGCTAACTGGACTCATCTCTTACTGCCAGGGTCCTTTATAGTCTCTTGATAGTACAACAGAGTGCATAATCCTTTTAAAAGATAAGTAAAATTATATTACTTATTTACTCCAAACATTCAGTGATGCCCATCCTCCAAACACTGTTTCATACACCATAAAAGCCAGGTGTTACCCTGCTAGGCCCTGTAAGATCTGCTATTTGTTTGCTAGCACTTTATCTTTTCCAAGATCATTTCACACTGCTCTCACCATTATGCAATCTGCAAAATAAATTCTCTGTTTCCTTTACACTTCATTTATCTTTCTCTAAAATGTCCATCACATTTTAATATAAAATATAGTTTATTATCAATACTAATTATATATAATTAATTACATCTTATTATCTAGATCATACGTTTCATCCCACTTGATTGGAAGTTCCAGGAAGGCAGAAGTTTTCGATAGTTTTATTTATAACTGTATCCTTTGAGATAAAACATTGCCTGCAACATACATGAGGTTCTCAATATATAACGACTGAGTGAAATAATCTGTAAAGAGCTCATTCATATCAATGTTAAATCTATAAAAGTATTGAAGAAACTAATATGGTCTCACAAATGTTTCTATTCAATTGTACTCCTGATTACTTTACATATAAACCAGCATTCACATTAACATGAAAATGCAATTCGTATACTTATTGTGGAAATAAGTCATAACAGAAGTATCTCTTGATACAATGAAGAATGTAATTTTCAGAGCAGGTAATTCTCAAAGTTCGAGAGAAAGGTGTACAAAGGAGAACATTATGCCCATGAAGAATATTATACTTTAATGCTTTGATGCTCACTTACAGTTAAGATCATTTTCATCTAGTTTTTAATTTCCTTCATTCTGAGCTAAAAGGTGACTTTATGGTAATAAAAATAACCATATCCTCTTCAAAAATACCCTAAATATCTTCTTCCATCACATATGGGACCAAAAAACAATGCCCATATCAAAATAAGTCTTGGTCTATGGTAATTCCCTCTTCGTGGATAACACAAATTTTAGGATTAGAAAGTTAATTCCTGACTCCAACATGCAAAGAAATTAATTTGAATATTTACTTTACTGAGAAAGTAGTAGCCACATAAATCCTTGAATTTCTCTTTATGTTTGGAATATTCTATTTCAGTGCCATATCTTTTTGGTATGTGATTTAAATAAGCAATAGCAATTCATAGTAGGAAATAATACTGTATTATACCTATCTTTGTAATTTGACTATAAGGATATTATAAAAATAATTTTCAAAGCCCCTTCACTATAATTATTCTGTGTATATGCATAACTTTTCCACTTATGTATGAAGAGCTCTGATATCTGTCACATATTATTTCTTTATGATCCCTCAAGAGCTGAAGTTTTGCAGAGCTTTAATGAATATGAAAAGATTAGAAGAGTGTGAAGGTGAAAAATGTGTATCAACCTATGATTTTAGCAAGTACATTTATTTTGTTAAAAGAACAAAAGCATGATAAAAACAAATATGCTCCAGGATTCTTCAAATATGAAAGTTAGTGCAAGGTCAAAAAAGTAATTTTGGAATATTATTATTGGATATAGATAGACAGATAGACAGACAGATAGACAGATAGATAGATAGATGATAGATGTTGAGAGAAGAAATTTTCATTCAAACTTGCACTGCTACAATCTCAAAAGAAAAATTATATTATTTTCCCAGGTAAAAATATACTATTCATGTAGTTAACTCTGCAATTCTTTTAACTTCAACTACAAGTTTAAAATTAAATGATAAACATTCAGTATGGATGCAACTTTGTTTTAAAGTCAAAATTATAGTGGCCAAACTCTTTCCTTTTTGTCACAGTTCGTGACTGAGGTACAGCACAAAGGATGAAAGATTATTCAGAGTCAATGTCCAATTCGAACTCCAAGAAGTCCCAGAGGGACTGCCCTTAATGGAGACCCCTCCCCGCAGTATGAGAGATTCTCATAAAGACACCCCCAAACTGACGCTTCCCTGGCTTTTTACTGACAGAACCAGGAGTCAAGGATACAGGATCAAGGAAATTCGTCAGTGCAGGAATTCATGTATAGGATGGGGAAGGACAGATGAAAGACAAGATAAGGTCAGGGTGATCTATTTCATGACTGACCTTAGGGCCAATCTAAGTGACAAATTGGAGTATGGCAAGGACGAGAGCCAGAGCATTTATTCCTTAAGGCAACTAGTTTTGGTTCTAGTTGGATTTGGGGTCAAATAGGCCGTCTTTAATCTCTAACCATGCATTCCAAGAGGTTTTGGGCTCGCGACCTCATGATTCTCTTACCTCTGCATATCCATCTCATATGTACATCTGGCCAATGCCCCCACACCTTTTGTTAAAGAATCCTGGTGTTAATGATTTTAGGCTTCTCCTTCATCAGCTTCTCTCTCAAGTTAGAGGCAGTTGTCTATCCCATGTGTTTATCATCGTGATCTGGGTATATATGGCTCAACCTTCCTTTGCCAGTGGACTCAGTCTATCTGCAAAAATGTATATTTTCTCTGCTTCCTTCTATAGTTGCATGAACAGAAATCAAACCATGAAGACACTTGGAATGTATACATCTGAGATTTAGCTTTAGGCAGTTCTTTGGTACATGTCTGATTTCCCTCCGTCAATGTCCTCCATGGCTAAAATGAGCCATTTATTTCCATCTTGCTGCCTGTTTTAATTGTCTCAAGTGGTTTAGAAAATGGAAATGTGAAAAAAGAATATCACTGTTTCAGGGGCCAAAATGAAATGATTAATTTATAAAATATTAGAACTTCATGAATAAATAATATACATAGTAACCCCTTCAGACTTTATTATCTAGAGATAATAGACAATTTAATAGATTTTATCTCTAAATAAAATATGTTCTTATGAAATATGCTATTAATTTATATAAGTTTATTTAATATCAAATAATAATAGAAACTTCTACTCAAATTATAATCAACCATGAACTCAGAATAGTTCCAAATCTCTGAATTTTAATAATTTATTTGGAATGCCTCATGAATTTGCATATCATCCTTGTGCTGGGGCTATGCTAATCTTCTTTGTATCATTCCAATTTTAGTATATGTGCTTTTGAAGTGAGCACAAAAGATATGAATTTTAGATAAATAATGGAGATAAGCTACCCATACTCAAAGAAACTTCTGTAATTTGAATTTATTCTGTGAGTTGCTAAGATTATTTTTATACACATTTCTTTTACTAATGAACTCCAAATCTAACCATGCTGAACATTAACAATTTAGTTCTGAATTTGAACTTATTTGTAGTTAAGGCTAGGGTTAGAGCTAGGGCTATGGCTCGCACTAGGGTTAGGTTTAGTGTTAAGAGAAAATGAAAGTTACAGATTGGATTTTCCCTGGGGATTTTTCTACTCTTAGAAGTAAATGGAAGACTACTGTTTAAAATGGAGCTTATAACTGCAAACAACTAGAGTTACCAGTTTTTGTGTATAGATTAATCCAGGGAATTGAGTCTGGCTGTGCTCTTTGGAATATCTCCCTATCTACAATACCGATTTTCGAGTGCATGTATATCAAGCTTGTATAGTGAATAACAATTTGGCCTAAAAAGTGCTATTCAGCTCCATTGAATAGAAGTAGGGAGCAGCATTCTCAATAGCTTACTAGCATGAACTCTAGGTTAGAAGACTAAATATTATTACAGATTTGTTCTGCTGTTTTTTTTTTTAAAAAGTTGTATTCAGGATTAGGGTTAGGGTTAGGGCTATGGCTAGAAGTAGGGTTAGGGTTAGGGATGGGCTAGGTTTAAGGATAGGTCCAATTTTAGGGTTAGGGTTAGAGTTTAGGGTAAGAATTATGCCAGGGCTAGGGCTAATAATTGGGCTAAGGCTAGTATTAGCTTTAGTTTTAGGATTTAGGCTATAGTTAATGTTAGGTTTTGGGCTCAGCTATGGCTCCACGAGGGTTAGGGCTATTATAGGGGCAGTGCTGAGGTTAGCATTACTGTTAGGGTTAGTTTTAAGTTTAAAGCTATGGCTAGGACTAGAGTTAAAGAGATAGGTTTGGGTTAGTGCTAGGATTAGTTTTAGGTTTATGGTTAGGTTTAGGATTAGGTATAGCATTAGGGTATAGTGTTAGGTTTAAATTTAGTGCTAAGATTAGGGCTACAGCTAAGGTAATGATTAGGTTTACTCCTCAGGCTATAGTTATAAGGTCATGTGTTTGACTAAGGCTTGGCTTGCTGTTAGGTTTAGGATTCGGGTAGCATTAGGGCTAGCACCAGGGCTGAGATTATCATCAATGTAAGAATTAAAGATTGTATTAAGGAAAATGAAGTATGTTGACTTGTGTTTTACATAGTAGTCTTCTACTAATAGAATAAATGTAAGAATAATGAATAAAATTCAGTTTGTGACAGAAAATAGCTAGAGCGCTCAGCTTTTAGATATATACCTAATACAGGAAATGTAATTTGGCTTTGCTTATTGAAAGTCTGCCTACCTGCAGTACTGATATTCAGTGTGTACTTACATCAGATCTCTTCAATGAATAGCAGTTTGGCTGAAATGTGCTATGTAGTTCTTTTATAAAGCAAGAGCCAACTGAGTTCTGAATGACTCACTAACATGAACTCTATGTTAGAAGTCGAACTGATATCATAGATTTATTCTGCTATTTATAAAGAAATTGTTAGGCTCAGATATTTCTTGTCACTTCTCTACCCATAGAGGTGAATGAAAGAATAGGGCATAAAATATAGTTTGTAACTGCCAACAGATAGAGCTAAGCAGTCTTTGGATATAAACTTAATACAGGGATTGGAGTCTGGCTATGTTCTCTGCAATGTCTTCTTATCTTCAATGCTGATTTTCGGAGTGTATTTATAACAGGCCTATTTTAGTGAATTGTAGTTTGGCCTAAAAAGTGCTGTTTACATCTGAAGAAAGGCAGGAGGCTGCAGAATTCTGATAATCTATCATGAATTCTGGTTTAGAAGTCTAATGCCTAACGTGTATCTTGGATTTGTTCTGTTGTTTTAAATTAAAGTTGCAGTTAAGGTTAAATTTGGAGTTTGTGTTAAGTTTGGGCTTAGGTTTACAGTTATAGTTAATGCTAGGGTTGGGGCTGAGACTAGGGCTATGCATAGGGTTAGAGTTGTGATTAGGTTGATGTTTCTGTTAGGCTTATGGTTAGGGTTTAGCTTTAGGTTTAGGTTTGGTGTTAGAGCTAAATCTAAGGCTAGGGCAAGGGTTAGGCTTAGGGTTAGGGCTAAGGTTAATGTTAGTGTGAGGGCTAGTTTTCAGTTTAGGCTTAGGTTTAGGTTTAGGGCTAGAGTTACAGCTATACCTAGGTCTAAGTTTAGGGTTATGGTAAGTCTAGGGTTAGGACTAGGTTTAGGGTTATGATTATGATTTGGGCCAGGGCTAGGTCTATGCCTAGGATTAGGATGATGTTTGGCTCTCACTAGGTTTGGGGTTGTTTTAGGTTTATGGATAGGTCTGGAGTTCTGTCTGATCTAGGGTTAGGTCTGTGTCTTTGGTTAGTGCTTGTCTATGTTTAAGTTAGTTTATGACTACTGTTAGGGTAGGAGTAGGTTTACTGTCATGATTAGGGTTATATATTTTTAACTAGGTTAGGGCCAAGACTTACAGCTACAGTTAGTACTAGCTAGAAGTGTCAGTTTTGGGAAATAAACTAGCTGCAGGGAACAGAGTCTGGATGTGCCCTGTGGGTATCTGCCTCTCTGCAATACTGATATTCAGAATACCTGCGTATCAGGCCTTTAGAGTAAATAGTAGTTTATCCTAAAATGTCTTATTCATCTCTGTTGAAAAGCAGGAGGCAGTGGAGTTCTCCATGTCTCACTGGCATGAACTCAGGCTTAGAAGTCTCACTGATATCACTGATTTGATTTGATATTTTAAATGAAGTTTGCAAACTCAGGTATTTTTGGGAATTAGTGTACAAGTAGAAGTGAATGGAAGAATAGTATATAAAGAGTTTGTAACTGCAAAACAACCATAGCTCTCTGTTTGAGTATAGACTATACACAGGGAATAGTGTCTGGTTGTGCTCTCTGTAATATCTGCCTATCTGCCATACTGACTGATGATCATGGTGCATATATGTCAGGCCTCTATAGTCAATAGCAGTTTGGCTTACAACATGCTATTCAGCTCTGTTGAAAAGTAGGACACATCAGCATTCTGAATGATTCACTAGTATTAACTCTACCTTTAAAGTCTAACTGATATCACAGACTTGTTCTGTTGTTTTAAACGAAGGTTGCAGGCTAGGATTTTCCTTGGCATGCTTGGACCGTAGAATAAAATGGAAGAATGGTAC